CTGAGGTGGCAGGGCTCCCTGTGAGGGAGTGGAGGAGGGGTGATGAGAAAGGCCGGAGGCTGGCCCTTGCTGGGCAGGCTGGGTGCGAAGGCCAAGGTTGCCGACTGGGTACCTGTAGGGGCACCGCTGAGCTGCCTGGAGGGATGCTCAGCTCCAGGGTCCCGGGTGGCTGCGGGCGTGGGCTGGCTCCGTGTCCTTGTGCCGGACACAAAAGCCACAGGGGCCACCTTCAGAGCCTGCAGGGACCGACTCACCCAGCAGGCGACCCCCTTCCAGGCTGGCCTGCCTGTCCCAGAGGAGCCCGGAGCCTGCTTTCAGGGGTGCCTCAAGTTCACTCACAGCCAAGGGGACAATGGGGCCACACGGGCTCCTTCCCCCTGCGGCTCCGCCACCCCTCCCCCACCCAACCCTTACGTACTTTTGGTTTTTGGTTTATCGGCTGGTGGTGCCTGGGCCTTGGGTGGCTGGTGCTGTTGGGTCCCATTGGTTCTGGTTCCGGCCTGGGCATCTGTCCCCTGCTTCCCGTGGGCGTCCCTCCCAGAGCCGAGCACAGTCCGAGCCCTGCAGAGGGGGGTGAGGGAGGGGCGCTCGGGGACCCTCAGAGATGGAGCCGGGTTTGCAAACGCTGGGCTTGGGCCCAGGGAGGGGGAGCAGCCAGGTCGAAGCCAGAGCCGGGGGAGGAAGCTGGGAGCGAGAGGCAGACGGCAGGCCGGCGGCTGCGAGGAGCTAGGAAGGCCGAGCGGAGCTGGTGGGGGGCGCAGGGCAGTCTGGAGGGGTGAGTCCGATCCTCTAGGGCTGATTCCTCTCTTCCGAGTCTGGGTCTGTGGATCCAGAGGGGAGGTCGGTGCCGCGGTGCCGGGCAGGGCTGGGGAGGGTGGCGCGGGGCTGGGGTCCCTGCCAGCCCAGCTCTGTCGGTGGCCAGTGCCCTTTTTGAGCCCTAGGGTGACCCGGATCCGCTCCCCCGCGCCTGCCCCTCTGGCCACACTTTTGACTAAATAAGGAGAGGGTTCTGGGGCAGCACCCGGGAAGGCCATGTGCCCCCCGCCCCGCCCGCCCTGACCCCGGCCAGGCACCGGGTAGCTTCCTTCCTACCTGTGGGGTCCGGGCGCGTCTCCCAGCACCAGCTTCTCCAGATGAGCGCCTGTGGGGGGCAGGACACAGGGGAGCCCCGAACGAATGGGCCACTGGCGTGAAGGCCCCCAGGCACCCGGGGAGGGGAAACCCCAAGGGCTAACGGGCTTCCCGGCAGCTCCACGGCCTGGGAAGCAGCGGGCGTGGGAGGAGGGTGCGGGACCCAGCAGGGTCAGGGAGCCTGTGTCCCTCCGTTTGTCCTGAGCAGACACCCCTCCAGGATTTGGAATCTGCTCTGGGCTCTCGGGGACCCCGGCCCACAGACAGGCCTTATTTGAAGGCTCCCCACCCCACAATTCACAAGTCGCCCTGGAGCGGGGAGCAGGGCTCCGGCTGTCCCTCCCTCTGTAGGCACAGGCCCGAGTGCCGGCCTGGGGGGGAGGAGGGGGCTGTCCT